AGTGGTGGCAGAGTAGGGTGGGGTGGTCAGAGGGGGGTGGGTGGGTGGTGATGGCTTCCGAGTGAGTGGCGTTTGCCGCTGGGGGGCGATAGAGGCCGTTGATGCATGGTTGATGGGGAGGGGGAGGAGGGGAAGATAACCAGTGGGATCGAATGCAAAGGGGTGGGGGCGTTTTCTGGTGTCGGGGCGCTAGTGACGGGGAAGGAGGGGGAGGCATGTCAGAGTGAAGGGCATTATTGCCCTTGCTTTGGGATAGCGGGGCGAGCCCGTGTCCTGTGAGGAGATCTGCTTGATCTCGGATTGACGTGCGCACAACACTACCCACGTCACAGAAACCGTTCGAGTAGGTGTAGATCTGTGGCAGAGGGGGACGATGTGAGGGGGGGGGGGGGGGAGGGGACAGGACAAGGAAGGAAAACGCAGCACGTTTAGCAAGGGAGGAGGCCCATGTTCGATTAGACGCCGAGGTGGTCGGTCGGGGCAGTGTGGAGCGAGTCGCCGGAGAAGACCGACTGGAACTGCTCGGGGATGGCCAGCTCGAGCGGGTCCTGGTCCTCACCACGGAGGACGATGACAAGCACCTCCTGCGAGTGGGCAGTGACAAAGGTCGGGGCGTTCTCCTCGCGGACGTCCGAGTTGACAAAGACCTTGACCGACGACGACTTGTCGATGTTGAACTGCGGGCAGTGGCCCGACTGGAGCTGGATCTGGACCTTCTTCGAGTTGACCGTGTCGCACGACGCCACCGCACCCTCGAACACCACGCCAACAGACTCGCACTTGTCGAGCGTCACCGCAGTGCACTTGGCCGAGATCTGCACAACAGAGTTCTTGACGTTGTACATGTACACCGACTGGCCGATCTCACCGATCTCCACCTTGAGCTCCGAGTTGCCGTCGACATTCTCCTACATCCGCATCGCCCCCACCCCCACCATTACCCCCAACACCAGTGCTCCCGTGAGTCCCAGTCGCCCCTCCTCCTCCTCCTCCTCTGCCTCTTCCCTGTCTCGCTCCGCCACCGCTCGGTTGCCACCTCGCATTTCATGTTTTTTTCGTTTCTGGTGAACAACAGGCACCCCCCCGCACCGCACCACATATCCCCCCGCCCCCCCTCCCCTTCCCCCGCCCTTCTCTCCCTCCCCCCCCCCCCCTCCCCCTCCTACCCTACCCTATCACCTCCACCCCCTCCGCTTGCGTACAATCTTCCACTTCTTGTTCTCGAGCACGGGACCAGAAGACATGTTTGTTGTTACTTTTGTTGTCGTAGCGACGGGTGTGGCGTTTCCAACGAATGTTACTCGTTCGCCGTCAATAGCTTTCACCATACAATCACCGTCGACTCGGAACGAATGATGACTCGCGATGACGTCGATTGTGGTGGTAGGGAGGGGGCAAGGCGGTGGGTGGAGGCAAAGCACCTACCAGCACCGGCACGACGAGGAAATTCCTCCGCCACGGCAAGGCCAATTTCCGTTTCCCGACCATGCCGACGGTCCGTTGCCACGCACACCACACACCACCACCAGCAAGCACAGGCCACCGCGCGTGTTCCACCTCCTGACTCTCCCACCCCCTCCCCACGCACACACATTCGCCCATCACCACCCCACTACTCTCTTCCTCCTCCACCCTCCCGCCTCCGCATCCCCGCCACACACCCCTCCACCATGGCGGAATACGTACGCGTCCCCACCCCCCCCTCCCTCCCGCTCCACCGCCACGTTCACCACGTCCACCACTCACCCCCTCCCCTGCCCCCTGGTACCACAGCGCGGATGGCTGCTCAAAAAGGGCAAGAAGATGATGCAAGGGTACCGCAAGCGGTACTTTGTCCTCGCCGACAACATTCTCAACTACTACGAGGACGAGTCCTGTACCGAGCATCTCGGCATGGTCGACATGGTCAAGGTCGTTGATTTGGTCTCGACCTCCAAGGCTGGCGAACGCAAGCAGACCTTCTCGCTTGTCGATGGCGAAGGCCGGACGTATTTGCTGGCCGCAGAGACTGAAAAGGGCAAGCTGCAGTGGATGCAAGCGCTCATGGCGTCTCGCCAAAAACGCCGTGCCGGCGGCGCTCGGGGCAAGACCTCGCGCTCGTCGCAGGCCATTCTCTCGGCTCGCAGCTCAGTCGGGCGGGTGACACAACTGGTCGGTGATAGCGACGACGCAGCTGCGTCGTCCAGCGATGTCAGTGCGTCGGCGCTTGGCAACCCATCGGGTGTGTGCGACGTGACCATTATCGGTTACCTCGGCCCGCTCTGCGAGCCAACCAAGGAGTTTGCCAACTACATTATTGCACCCGATCTCTCGGTTGTGGACCAGATCATTACCATTGGCTCTCTTCTCGGCGTCGAGAACGTCGATTCCGACGCGTTTGCGCTTCGGGTCCGCGAGGGCGACTACTACCTTGACCGGCATGTCCTCTTTGCCGAGCAGTACAACACGTTCCGCCACGCGTACCCGGCTGTCACACTCGAGCTCTGGGAGGCACCCGAGCCACGCGCCCGCAACCTTGTCCGCAACGTGCTTGACAAGTACACGCCGGGCGACATGACCCACAAGCGCATGCTCTTCTACCTCAAGTCGTGGCTCGCCGACTCGAGCTTTGCAGAGGAGCTTATCGCCCTCAAGGTCATCGACTCGCTCTGCAACATCATCTCCACTCACTCGGACGAGGCCAACGCTGTCAAGTACGCCCTCGAGGGCCTGCGCTCGGCCGTCTCGTACATTTCGGGCATGCGCTACCTGACCTCGTCCGAGGACCTCATGGTCCAGCTCTACAGCCTCGTCGCCAACGTTCAGGTTGCCTCTCGCGCCATGGAAGTCCTCATTGCCATTGTCGAGTACGACGTCGACGGCTTCCGGCTCATCCACTTGGCTGCGCTCGCCGCGGCAGCCGCCGCGAACAGGGCGCCGTACGCTGAGCTGGTGACCCACCTCCGCGGCGCTGACTTTGACGCCAAAATCAACGCTCTCGGCCTCATCAACGTGCTCTTTGCAAACTGCAACGACCCCGAGCAGTACTCGGAGTTCTCCGACATGACCCTCGACGTCGGCGTCCTCGCTCTCCTCCGCGAGCAGGAGGACTACACCAATCCGGCGTTCTGCGCCCAGCTCGAGACGTACGAGAACCACACCGCCATGCCGGTCTTCCCCACCAAGGTCCGCCTCGAGACCGAGCTTGAGCTTGTGGTTGCCTCCAACAAGGAGCTCGGCATGCAGAACGAGCAGCTCAAGCTACAGGTTGAGGAACTCTCGCTCGGCGAGAACGACCGCATCAAGCAGCTCGAGGCCTACATCCAGCGGCTGCAGACCATTGTCAAGTCCGAGGCCAAGGCCGAGGCAGTTGCTGAGGCTGAGGCCAAAGCCCAAGCTGCTTTTGACGCCCAGCGTGCCCAAATGGATGCCGACATCCAAAAGGCTCAGGCTCGCGTCGCGCAGCTGGAGGCCGACCTCGCCGCCGCCAACAAGCAGGTCGCGGATGCCGAGGCCGCCGCTGCCGCTGCCACCGCTGCTGCTGCCGAGGCCGCTGCTGCTGCCGCGGTGGCCCCCCCATCCTCGACCGATGACACCAAGCGCAGTGCCTCTGGCCCTTCCGCCTCCGGAAGTACTGTCGCCGCTGCTGCCGCCGGAGCCGTCGCTGGTGCCGCTGTCGGAGCCGCAGCCTCCTCCTCTGATGGAGCCACTTCTCCAGCAGCCGGCCCGGACGGCCCGTCGACCGCGTCTGTACCTGCTGCACCTGCTGCACCTGCTGCACCTGCTGCACCTGCTGCACCTGCTGCGCCGACCCCTCCGCCCGCGCCAACTGGTGGCGGTCCCCCCCCCTCCCCCGCCTCCGCCGGGCGCCGGAGGCGGTCCTCCCCCTCCCCCGCCACCGCCGGGCGCCGGAGGCGGACCGCCCCCTCCACCCCCCCCGCCTGGAGGCGGACAGGCCATCCGGCCGCGCGGCCCGCAATTCCGCAAGCCGGCGGTGACACCCAAGGACAAGATGAAGCCACTGTTTTGGAACCGCATCCTCGCACCGCTTGATGCCGACGGCCCGATGTCAATCTGGCACACCATGGAGGAGGCCGACATCGACGTCAACAAGCTCGCCAAGACCTTTGCCGACACGGCCAAGACCAAGAAGCTCGGCGGGTCGTCGGGTGCCGCGTCGGCCGAATCTGCGCCCAAGACCATCTCGACGCTCTCGCGCAAGCGGTTCACTGCTGTCTCGGTCATGCTCGCCTCGCTGCCGGACGTCAAGCCGCTCACCGCCGCCATCATCTCGATGTCGGACGAGGTGCTCAAACTCGAGCAGGTGCAGCAGCTGCGGATGCACGCGGCAACCGATGAGGAGCTGATGGCTATGCGGGCGGCAGCGAGCGCGGCGTCAGAGGGCGGGCCTTCGCTCGACGCCGCCGACACCACGCTCCTTGCCCTCGCCGACGCCGTCCCGCACCTTAGCAAGCGACTCCAAGTCTGGGAGTTCCTCCGTGAGTTTGATGAGGCCATGAGTGACATCCTCCACCCCATGCGCCTGGTCAAGGAGGCGCTGGACGCGCTCACCACCTCAACCAAGCTGCAGGTCTTCCTCTCTGCCGTCCTTGCCGCCGGGAACTACCTCAACGGCGGAAACAAGCGGCGCGGCCAGGCCGACGGCTTTGGCCTCGACATCCTTGCCAAGCTCTCGGCCACCAAGGGCGAAGGCGGCATGTCGCTCCTCCTCTTCCTTACCTATTGGTGCATGGACCAGCTGCCTGACTTTGACCAGATCTACAACGAGCTCGCAGGCGTTATCGACGTCTCGCACGCCGGCCTCGACCTGCAGTACCTCCAGGGTGAGCTCCGCCTCCTCTCGAACCGTCTCAAGTCGGCTGTCGCAGGCGTCTCCGCTGTCCTTGCCGGCGGCTCGGCGGCCTCAACCGGCGGCTTCAAATGTACGCCGAGCCCAAGATGGTCAAGGCGCAACAGGCCATGGCCCAGGCTGAAAGCTCGTTCCAGCTTACCCTCGTGGCCTTTTCGGACGCCATGACCTACTTTGGCATCCCGGCCAAGAAGCAGGGCAAGATGCGGGTCGCAGACTTCCTCCGCCCTTTGCTGTCATGCTCGAAGAATCGAAGCAGTCGTACAACGCCGAAGAGTCTCGCCGCGCCAAGGACGAGCGTCGCCGCAACCGCCTCAACATCAACGCCGCCGTCCTCGCCAAGGGCAAGGGCAAGCGCATCGCCAAGGGCGCAGACCCGATGGGTGCCATTGCCAACGCTGCCAAGAACAAGCGGACAAAGGGCAAGAACGGCTTTGGCCCCTCGCGCAACTTTGGCACAATTCGCAAGAACTCGGGTATCCGTCTTGTCGAGCCGTAGCCGTAGCAGAGGAGGAGCCGACCCGCGCCTTGGCAAACCAATTGAACGCATCCCGCGTTGCTCGGCCTTGCCCGACCAAAATTCATCTGCCGCAGGCTGCACTCGGCTCTTGGGCAGTCGAGTAGCCACGGGCGGCCACTCAACTGCAACCTCCCCTCCCCCACCGCGCAGAGCAGCCCATGCAGTCTGGCAAGAGTAGCGGCAGAGTGTTCGCGACATACAGCGAGCGCCGGCGGGCTGTGCTGCAACGGCGCGAGACGGTGCTGTTGGTGGTGCTCGGGCTGGTGGCGGTGGGTGTGCTGGCGTGGCTGGGCGGGGTCGGTGACGCGGTGCTGCAAGAGAGCGCGACGGACGAGCCCACGCCCGAGTGGCGGCACGTGGCGGCGGCGATCGAGGCGCCGCGGCTGGTTGTCGACAGCGCCCAGCCGCCGCGACTCAACATCCTGGTCATGGGCTTTGACTTTAATTCGTTCTACGGCGGCATGATTGGTATCTCGCAGTTTGCGCTCCGCGCCGCCCGGCTCGGCCTCGCCGTCCGCTGGGTCAATCTCGGCGACGCGCCATCGGTGCCGGACATGGCCGCCGCGCTGCAGTCGTTCCCAGGCCTGGAGGAGCTGACATCGACCATCGAGTTTGGCTTTCACGCCGATCGCTCCACTCCGCTCCTCGCCTCGCCAGCCGATGTCTTTGTCGCCACCCAGTTTCTCAGCGCCCACGTCGCCGCCGCCCTGCACGCCTCACCGCTCCTTGCCTCACCACACTTTGTGTACTTTATCCAGGACATCGAGTCGACGTTCTTTGCGCACGGCACCATGCATGCTCTTGCCGACGCCTCGTACGCCTTTGATCACCGCGCCCTCTTCTCCTACGGCTTTCTCCGCGACTACTTTGCCGCCATGTCGCTCGGGGTCTTTGCGCCTGACACCGCTCCTGCCACCGGCAAGTACGTGGCATACCAGTTTCCGGTCAAGCCTGCCGGCACACCGACGGCGATGCAACTGAAGCGGACACCCGGAACGAAGCGCAAGCTCTTGTTCTACGCCCGGCCCGAGGCGCATGCCCAGCGCAACATGTTTGAGCTCGGAATGATGGCTCTCTCGGCAGTCATCGCCTCGGGCGACTTCAACGTTGACGAGTGGGAGTTCCACGGCATCGGCTCCAAGACGGCGCGGCCACACTGTGGCCTGCCGCGCGGCGCGTGCCTCACCATCTTGCCTCGAACGGCGCCAGACGCCTATCTCGAGCTGCTTGCCTCGTACGACGTTGGCCTCTCGCTCATGCTTTCACCACACCCGTCGATTCCGCCGTTCGATTTTGCTGCCGCTGGCCTCGTCACTGTCACCAACACCTACACCGCCAAGTCGCGCGCCTCGCTCCTCGCCATCTCGTCGAACCTCATCCCTGTGCAGCCGACCATCGGCGGCGTCGCCGACGGTTTGCGCGAGGCTCTTGCTCGGGTGGACAATGTTGATGCCCGCCTTGCCGGCTGCTCGCTCTCGCTCGCGTCCGAGTGGAGTGACGACGCCGCGCTCGGGCCGCGGACCCTGGCCCACATGCTCGCGTGGCTCCCACCTCGGCTGGCAGCCACCGTTCCCGGACCTCGCCTGGTGGTCCTCGTCGCCGGCTCGGGTCTGCATGGCCTCACAGACATCCTCGGCATCCTGCAGGCGAGCCCGTATCACACCTGGCGTGTCGTGGCTCTCCTCGACAGCGCGGTCCTGACCGGTACCGCCGAGGCTGCGGCAGCCATGGCGGCGAGCGCCGACGAGGCGCGACTCACTCTTCTCCAGATCGCGCAGCCCGGCTGCACGGCTTGGCGCAAGGCGGTGAGCGAGGCGACCTCGGCTGCGCACGTCTTTCCGCCATCGTCCAAGCCACCGACAGCGAGCGCAGTGGTGACACGGGCGAAAGCCACAGCACTCGACGCACTCCGCGCATGGATTCGGGCCGGCGGCAAGGGCAAGGAAGGAGCGGCTCATTCCGGACTACTCCTCGGCCCGTTCGACAAGACTGACAACTGCAGCGGCAGCGGCGCCGGCAGCACCGGCGAGACCGCGACCACACCCAGCGCGGCGCGGTACGAGGCATGGCTCACATCCTGAGGTGAGCAACGACGAGCATCACACCCCGTCGTCGGCAACATCGTCCTCAGCGACAGCATGCGCCGGCGGGCCGTGGCCATGGGCATGGGCGCATCTGGATTGGCAGTGGGCGGCGGGCGGATGAGTTCGTCATCAACGGCGGGGACCACGACGGCGGGCTCGTCGCCGGGCAGATCAGCCGAGGCGAGAAAGTCGCGAACGCATTGGGCGTGGCGACCATAGGGTGGCGGCTTTGCGGTAATTTTGGACTTGCGCGGGTCGGCTGGGATCCACTCGGACTCGGGCAGGAGACGGGTCTCCCACCCGCCCTCGACGGTGTAGGTGGAGACATAGCGCGGCTTGGGCGGCGGCTCGGGTGGATTGATTTCCGCCCACGGGCCAGGCGGCTTTGCATTCGGTTCAGGCTGGTAAACCAGGCCGGCGTCTTCGAGCGCACGCAGGGCATCGTCGATAGAGTGCCCAGGGGACGGGCGGAAGGGAATGCGGCCAGCGTCGCCGGGCGCGCCGCCCGACGCCCCGGCCTCGTCGTCCGACCCCGACTCGAGGAGGACCGAGTAGTCGTGCCGGTCCTCGGACGAGTACGACGCCGCCTCGTCGTCTCCAGCGCCTGCCCAGTATGCAGCCATGGTGGGTGAGTGGAGTGTGGCAAGAGCCCGGGGGGTGGGCTAGGTGTGACGTGTGACGTTCGGGCGTCGGGTCGTTGCGAAAGGCGAGGCGCCTTGAGCGGCGGGTGAGCGTTCGACCACACGTCGACCATTAGGTCGCGCGCGACGGCCGTTACAGACTGAGCTGCTTTTATGATTTCGGGCACCATAAGACCGGGTGTATCGTTGGAGGTTAGCTTGTAGGATTGTTCACCGGCTGATGGACGCCCTTGAGGACAACGGTGGCCAGGTTGACGACGGTGCCAGTGTCGTACTCGAGGACGCCAGCCGAGGACGTGCCGGAGGAGCTTGACGACGACGATGATGAGGAAGAAGACGACGATGACGGTGGAGACGCCAGCCGGCCATGGGCAGCCGTGGCCGAGGCGGCAGACGACGACGATCGCGGCGGCGGTTGGACAGGAGCGGCAGCGGCCGAGGTGGCGGGAGAGGTCGAGACGGGCGCCGCAGGCGACGAGCCTGCCGGCGGGTCCGAGTCCGAGTCGTTGTCGCGGATGGACTGGATGATGTTGATGAGGTACGCCTTTTCCTCGACAAACTGAGTGTCGTCACGGCGGTCCTTTTGAAAGTCGGCCAGAAAGTTGACAAGCTTGTTGGCGTTGCGCTTGAGGATGTGGAGGACGGCCGGCGGCTTGGTCGGGTTGGCGACAAAGATCTTAAAGACATGGAAGGCCTCGAACTGAATGTTGCGCGACTTGTCGCGGAGGAGCTGCATGATGGTCTTGAGGTTGTGCGACGAGGCGATGTACCGCTTCATGGTTGCAATGTTGGAGCGGTCGAGGAGAAAGTCACCAAGCAGCGAGAGCGACTGCCTGCGGGTGGCGTAGTTTTCGCATACCAGCAGCCGCGCGTACGACTCGAAGAACGGCACGTAGTGCTGCTCCATAAACTCGCCGACAGCCGCTGAGTGGGTGGTGAGCAGGAGGCGAAAGGTGAGGAAGGCGTCGGTGGCAACGTCAAACGAGGTGTCCTCCATCAGATCAAAGAGTAGAAAGAGCTCGTCCGACAGGAGCAACCACCGGGCGACTGGCTCGTGGGCCAGCGCCGCGCGCATCATTGCTCCACAGTTGAGTGCAATGTCAGTGTTGCCATACCCGAGCATGATGACCGAGAGCACCTCGTCATGCGCACAAAGTGCTTCCACCACCGGAAACCGGGTCCCGCCGTCGGCCTGCTCGCGGACCAGCCGCTCAAAGAGGACCACCACATCCTTCCGCGCCTCAAACTCCAGCAGCGTCAGGTTCTCCAGCAAGTTGCCCAGCAGCTCGTCCTCCAGTACGACAGCAGCGAGGGCGGCGACGGCCGACTCGGAGCCCTCGCCCGAGAGTCCGCCAGCCTCTGCCACCGGATCTGCAGCCTCGTCGGGCAGGGCCAGCTTGCGTGTCTCCGCCAGCACCCGGGTCATTTCCGTCCGGGCCTTGCCCACAGCCTTGCTCGACGATGTCGAAGTCAGCACCTCTAGATTGGTCTTCATCAGACCTGCGAGCTCGATGATGCCCAGCTTCTTCTTGCCGCCAAAGAGGAACGCCATGTCTGTCTCTCTGTCTGTCTGGTAGAGAGGGAGGGGAGAGGGAAAGGGCTAGAGCAGGCGAGGAGGAGGGGTGGGGGTAGGGTGGGGGTAGGGGGGTGGGGGTGGGGTGGGGGTGGGGGGTAGGGGGGGGGGGGTAGTAGGGAGGTCGACCCGCGAGATGTGTGTGTGCGTGTGGACGCGTGTGTGCGAGTGCTGCGTGTGTGTGTGCGTGTGTGTGTGTGTGTGTGCGGTTGGGCTGGGAAGGAGCGTTGGCCCAGCCCGCGCAACAGAGACATTCGCAGGTGGCAAGACCAAAAGCGGGGAAGGAGGAAAGGAGGGGGGCTTCATTGCCTGCCGCCCACGCCCACTGGAAGCCACCCCACCCCTGCCACCTGCCACCACACCCCACGGCCACGGCCACCCCACGGCCACCACCACCCCACCCACTGTCTTCACATATGGATCCTCACCCCGGCTCGCCGCCGCTACGCTTCCATGCGGGCTCGCCACCGCTGGGCCAGGCCGGTCCGCCTCTGC